GACTGTTTAAAGACCTCCAGTACTTAATGCATTGAAGTGTCTCTTTGCTATTTGTCTTCACTTATAATTGTATTTAGACTTCAGTACCTTCATGATCTTTGTAACTTCAAACATGGTGTCACTGTTTCTTAGTATTTAATTTCTATTTTAGCATAGTTCTATACAGGTATTGATCATGTAGTTTCTTTTGATCATGGAATTACAGAATGCTGCAAAGATTTAACAAATTAGACTGATAACAGAATTTTCCAATGCTTTTGGTAATTGAGAACAATCATAAGAAAATCCTTTGTATGAACCACAGTTTTAAAAGAACATATATTGTAGGAAGCCAGTACCTTAACTGTTAATGTGTACTACACTTGTGTGTTCCAGAACTAGGTTTCTACCTGGAGTTTCAGTTTTGCTCTGCACAGGGTATGCAGCATTATAGTCCTGTTATTTGTGCAGAATATTTCACAAAGCAAGGGTAACCTCAGGTCTGTCATAACATAATGTGCTTCTCTCTGTTCTTTTTGCTGTCTGTCCAAGTCATTAAATTTAATTTCTTTATTATTAAAATAGCCTGTTTTCTGGATCAATATGAAGGATCACTGGTTACAACGTAGGTCTATCCCCCAATTATCCATGAGGTTACTGAACTTTGTAGATTACATATTTGAGACCACTAGTACTTTGAAAAGGTACTTCTGTAGGGATTCTCTATCATATCCAACATAAATCAAGACTGACTTTTTTGAAGCTCCTTAGAAAGGCATCTGTGAGCACTGAAGTTTGGTTCCACTCCTGAACTATATGTATTAAGGCTCTCAACCTTGTCCACCATAGGTGAATGAAAACTATAACAAGGAAATGATAGCAGAGATTAGATACTTGTGCTTTTAATATGCCCAGGATAATCTACTTGGTTTTACTGTTCAGGATGTGTTCAGGATGTGGTCCCTGCTCTCATCAGCTTGCCTTCATTATGGGAATTTTTGTAGTGCAACAAATTTAGAATAGCTGTGATTTCATTTATGCAGAAGTTTCTCAGGCTTAGGAAAACCAGAACATGGGCTCCTCTGTTCAATGAGAGCAATTTAAAGTACAAGCAATGTTGTTTCCTTCCAGAGAAGGCCACTTTGTTCTGGGAAGAAAGTATCCTCTATCACGTGGTTTGAATGCAACCTTTTCTTGGACAGTCAAAGTGTTGGGCTTTCCATGGCTTTCTCTCTTGCTATCAGAATAGGACATGAGAGGCATGGGATTTTTTGGTGTTTGTGTTCTGTTTGGTTTTTTTTTCCCTTCAACAGTCAGTAAGAACACCTTGATAGTTCTAACTTCAGATATTTGTTTTATCTGGGATGTGTTTTCCTGATAGACAGCACTTGGATGTAAATGAAGTACAGAAATATTCCAATATGAGGTGGAAGTTTTCAGTATCTCATACAAGAAATGCAGAATTGCCAATTTCTTCTCCGTTTAGCAGGCAATTAATTTCATACCCTGTAGGCAGGTTTACTATTGGTTCTTTTTCCTTTGCAGTCTTGGACACGATGCCTGCCCTCCAGTCATGTTATTACCTTGAATTACAATGCAGTATACTGCTTACAGATTTGGCACACCATAACCAGTTTCAAGAGCCTTAGAAAAAGTGCAACTACCCCAGGTTAGCATGACTAGCATGAGTAGGGCTCTCTTGCAAGTGTTACATAGAGAACATCTGGATCTGAACAATTTGTTGCTTGATAGTTCAGATGATTTATTGATGGAGGACGGAATTGATTAGCCTCTGTCACTATATACCTGCAGTGGTGAGCAGTTGTGTGACTGACTGGTAATTCGTCCAGAAGATTTCGTAGAGTGTAACCAGAGCCACCTTCTCATGCAAGAACTCATAAGACAGTTTTGGACATTCTACAATAGTTTCTACAATAGTTTTCAGATCTTAAATATAGAACACAAGCATGCACAAGATAATATTGCTACTTAGAGAAGTTGTGGCTATATAAATTATAAGGATTTGAAATAATAATTTTAACTAGTTTTATATAAACAATATCACACAGTTTCCTTTTCATTTTGCTTCCTGTAGGAAAGATATTTTAATAATTAATTTTTTAAAAATTACTTTTGAGCCATAAAATCAGAGAAAGTCATTAAAACCATAAAAATCCAAAGATAGTCTTGGATGTATAGCATTTTCAGTACTTGCAGCCATATTCCTACATAACACAGAATTTTGCTAGGTTTTCCTAGGAAGGACAGAATTTTACCTAGTTTTCCAGATGCATCTATGGTACATGCAGGAGGCCTGGCCATTAGTAATGCTTTCAAATCTGAAAAATTTTGGACTTGGATGGCACTTCAAGAGATCTTGTGCATTGGTTTCCATCATTTAAAACTGATAATGTACCAGCCATTTCAAGGATATCCCTAAATAAGTTGATCTACTCCAAAAAACTCTCAACCTCTTCTGTGGCTACATGCATATATACATGTACACAGATACACATAGACAGACAGACAGACACACAGACTGGGGCAGGTTTGAGGGTTTTTTATGGCTTTTTTTCCTGAAATGTCTCTGAGCAATGCAGGCCATCCAGGTGCTGAGCTGTCTGAGGATGGTAATCTCAAACTTTGCATATGAGCCTCCACCTGCTATATCCTTCTTTATGTTTGCTTTTATTGAAAGCACTCATTAGGTTAAGTCTTTGCCACATCAGAGTGTTCTACTGATTCAACACTCCCATTTTTAAAGCTGTATTGGTCTTTATTTTATTAGAATAGTGTATAAAGAGTCAGTTAGAATGAGAGCCCCATTGACATGCCTGTAGAAAAAACAAATGAAGGTTTATTTCTGCTCTGAAGACACACAGTCTAAATAAAAGAGAAAGAATAGAAGAAATAGATACAGCTGGAAGAAGGGTAGACTTTCACAAGTGGTGTCTAAAATATATTTTCTGTGTATCAGTTTTTTTCTCTTCCAAGTGTTCTTTTAGTGATTTTAACAGTGAGGAGATGCCTGAATTGAGAGTTAAGAAGAAGATTTCTATGTTTTAGGCCATATTATCATTATACTCGTTTTAATGTCTGTACAACATTAGCATTTGAGACTGCAGGAACTTAACTGCTTTACTTGTTGGTGTTACACTGCAGTTGATTTCGGTGAACCATAAAAAGTTTGCCCCTGAAGGTAAAATTACACTGTATGCATGTTCCTAGCATACTGCTTTGGGGATAAACATGTCTTAAATCAACTCATTGCTCACAGCTGAATTCCTTCTCCAAATGCAGTTTCTGTGTAGATAATAATGTTCAGAAAGACTGATTTTCTGTAAACCATAAAGTTTTTTGAACATAATTCTATCAATAAATTTATTTGAGCAGGATTGGAAAGAATTCTTATAATCCTAATAAAGACTGGGGTTTTAGTGAAAGGAAAGGAGGGGTATATACCAACATTTTTAATTAGCTTTCATTGGCACCTCCAGTTTGTTCATATGTGTTCCAAACATTTGCATATTGTTTCATCACATTTGCATAATAAAAACTTTTGGACTTCATTAAAACTTCTTTTTTGTAATTGTGCATTTGGAAAATTAAATTCAATGTTTATGACACCCTGGTTCCTACTTGCTTGGATCATAGTGTGTAGTTAAGATGCCATCACTTGAGACCTTTGTTACAGCAATTTTTCTGTTGGGGTTTAATATACTATGGGTTCAGATGGATGTAATTGTGGCCTTGAGGTGTTGGTCTAAAGAATACTGTCTGGGTTTGTACCCAGATATTCCTGGATTAGTATTCTGAGACTTAGATCTTGTCCTGTCTGGAATTTAAATACTGTTCCCTGAGCTTTAAAGAGAACGCAAACCCCATTTCAGCCTCTTAAAATAAGAGTCCTTTATCTTACCTCTTTAATTTGCTGCTTTTTTTTTTTTTCCCAAACTCTTGTAGCCATTGAAATCCAGGCAGTAACTTCCAAACCATTTTTACAACCTCAAATAGATGAAGTGCCTGTTTGTTCCTCGGTTAAATTCCCAAATTAATTATAGTTAGAAAGTTCTTACATCTGAATCTCCATTTTTCTTATAATATGTAAGGGCAGAATAAAAAGTCCCTAGATAGTAGGCAAGACTTCGGAATGTAAACAACTTTGTTACATTTGAGAGGCCATCTTTTGTTGCAACAAAGCTGATTTTTGTGAGTTTTGCCTTTTTTTGGTTTTGTTTTTGTTTTCTGGTGGGTTTTGGTTTGTTTTGGCTTTATGTTTTTGTTTGGGTTTTTTATATTTTTTTTGTTTGAGGGTTTTTTGTTTGTAGGTGTTTTTTGGTGCTTGGTTTGGTTTTTGGTTTTTTTTTTTTTCTTTCTTTCTTTGCTTTGATGCTTTCTGAAATGATACCTTTGGTTTCAGGATTGAAATTTCCATTTTATTCCTATATGGAGAAGAGAAACATAAACGCCCCCACAGTGGCAAATCTGTATGGGGTTTTCTTCTATTAGGAATCTTTGACCCATACCTTCCCCGTTCAGTGAGTAGAAAGGGCAAGGTAACTTAGCTGAGGGTGGCTACAGATCTGCTCTCCATGTAAATCATGAAGTGAACCTGAAGGGGAGAGAATTCCAGAAATCTGCTAATAGACAAAATACTTCAAAAGTTTCTTTACAAAGAGAGCCTTTCTTCTACCCCCCCCCCCCGAGTATATATTAATTGGTTATAAATCTTAGTTTTGAGGTTGTTATTCACCTAATTATTCACACAGCAGTGCATGATGGATTCACAGGTACAGTTACTGTTCCATTGTACTGGCAAGAAGTCTTTTCTATGCAACAGAGAGAATTTTTAGTCTAAAGGTCCAAGTTCTATAATTAGTTATATAGTAAAGGATTCAGAAGAGTGGCAAAACATTGCTTAGAAGTTTGCCCAATTAGCCTTTAAATTGTCTGCCTGCATATGTCATTATTATAAGTGTTTTAGTATCTGGTGGTATTTGTATTTTTTCCTTTTCTTCCAGATCATTACTAAATATATTTATGAACTACTAGAGAAGGAATGCCACTTGAAGAAAGTAACTCTTCCAGTAAGTATAATTTATTTTTCCAAAGGCATTGTTTTTTTGAATCTGTACCCAGCATAGCCTGTGATCCCTTATTCAGATAAAGACAAGTTGTGCCAGGGCTCTGTGCAGGGCATTGTCTCAGGACAATGCCTTTGTATTTTACGGATGTATGCACCTGGAGATGTGGTTCCACCTCGTTTCTCATGTGTTTGATTTCTCCAACTGAGCCTTCCGTACTTTACCAGATACCAGAATTTTCAGATGTGGTGATTTTAATAGGAGAGCCATAAGCTTTTTGAAAAGTATTTGTAGATATTTTGGGACGTCTGAAGCTGAATGTAGAAAACAGAAGCGTCTCCACAGGCTACACTCACATTGAGTATCAGAAAACAACTCCAAGTAATTTTTTTTTAAATGCTGTTTCAGTAATTTGTAATATGTATGTTGTTGAGTTTTGCATGGGTCTTGGGTCTTCCAAGAGACAAGAGCAGCTGTTGGTTCTTGTAAAGTTGTTTATTGCATGAATACATCAGTCTTGAAGGCGAAGAGCTCAGAGTATTAAAGTCCATGCTAAAAGCTTAATGGCACAGAGTCCCGATGTTCTGAGCAGAAGCAGCAGCAGCTCTCACACCTTTTTTCTTCTTATTCTTTCTTCCTCTTTCTGTTGTTTTTTCATCCTGGTACAGGGGGATTTTATTCAGAAATCACCCCATCAGCTAAAAACACAATTCTAAAACATTCTTCCTACACCAATCTGAGTTTAATTCTAATGTGCAAAAGTCATGTCAGTTCTTACCCAAAAATCTATATATATATTTTTATCTGTTCATGCAAATAATTCTGTCTGTTCTATCTAGAAATACAGGCAATGTTCTTCTGTGTTGTCATTATGTCTGGAGCTAAGTTAATTTTGTAAAAGGTAACACTATTGAACTTTAAACTAGGCTTTAGGGCTTTTTACTAGCTAACACAGTCTCTTAAGGCACTTAAGATCTATTTCTACTTACTTAAAACTAAAACTTACACTCCTACTTCATGTCTGTGTCTTAATATATTTCAGTGTCTCTAAAGGCTCCAATTCAATCCTGGCATTCCTTTCTCTCTCTGAGGCACTCAGAGAGGCTTCTATTTCATGCATTCCAACAGTATGTAATATAAAGTGCTTATATTGCTTAGTGAAAGTATTTTATCAACCTTGGAAAAGATGAAGTGCTCATCTACTTATCAGAGTGTTTATAAATACATGTGATATGATGATGATGTTCAGGTATTTTTATATTCTGTACTGGAGAGTGCAGGGGAGACTGGAGTGTGACAGCACTGTGTAGATTTTCTATCATTATGAAGGATTCCTATGTTCTTGGAAATCTTCTGAATCACTGTTTTTTTCAGACAAACCTTCATATTCAGTCAAGGAAAACCTGTTAAGGCTATGGAAGGAAAAAGTCTTTTCCCTTAACAGTTCTGTAACATTTCACTATTCCTAATTCCATTCCCTGAGCATTGCTTAAGGAATGTTTTAATAACTTGCCCAAACTACTTATAGTTTCCTAGCAGGGCTTTTTCAGTGTCTTATGGTTATGGCAGAAGGAGCTTAGCTACGAGATTCAGAGAAGTCGAAGGGCAATACTTGCAGCCTGGTGTTTGCACCAATGCCTGACAACTGAGACTGAGAAAGCATTTCCCCACTTCAGATTTTTCTGTGTGTACAGACATAGGATTAGGTTCATCACTGGTGGAGTGCTAGTTATGATCTCCAGGTTTTTGGATGATTTTCTTTCTTGGTGAAGTTTAGGTCCAAGAAGTACTTCCAGAACAGTAATGTACCAAAAGACTTCTTAAGCCATGCCACACTTTGTCATGTTTGTGAAACCATGAGGCTTTTGTTTATAAAATTCAAAGTGCCCAGATATTAAGGTTATAGGACTTTCTTTGATTCCTAAAATAGAATATGAAGAATATGCATCTAAGTAGTGCAGTGCTAAGGTTGATCAATTAGCTCCAAAACATGAAGGTAGAGGAAATTGGGATAAATATCATAGCACCTCCATCACCTATGTGACACCTGTGGTGATTCATTTGCCTGGCTCTAAGGTTTGAGTTTCTTGGCTTGAAAGAAGAGTGGCCCTGGCTAGTTCTCACTTTTGGATTAATCTCTGTTTACTTGTATCTAGAAGTTGTGTAGTAGGCATGGATACAGTTGTTCAGTAGTATATTTAAGCTATTCTCAAATGTATTACTTTCAACTTCTGTCAAGTGTCATAATTACATTTTGGAGCAAAGTAAGAAAGTACAAAATATTCAGGTGTCTTTAATGGAAGCATTGTGGAAAAATTCATATGAGGTACAAACACCATTCTTCAGGAGTGGCTGTTATGCATAGCCAGCCCTCACTACAATCAAAAATAGGTTATGAAGGCACATACAGAAGTGAAAAATTGAAACAATATATTTAGAAGCTGAAAAATTAAAGCTGTGTAAAAGCTAGGTTTAAATAGCCACTGACAGACTCCCAAGTAAGGACACAAAACCTAGTTTAAAATAGTAAAGGAGGCTGACTAATAAAAACAATAAAACATCTTTTAGGATGAGAATAGGAGAGAGTATAAATGTTGTCAAGTCACATGTAAAATCACAGGAAGTTCACAAAAAACAAATTTGAGGATCTTGTTAGATTTGTAAAGGCTAATATTAAAAGAGAGCTGATAAGGCCAGTAGATGAACTGCAGCTAAAGTGAACACTGAGGTCAAGTAAGAAAAATAAATAAATAAAAGAAAAAAAAAAAA